TTTATCTCGCTGGTTAGGTTGACCAGGTAAAAAGGTGCTGTGTCGTCAGCCTTCAGAACTGCGGATTGAGTGTTCAAGTCCCATCTGGTTGTTTTTAAGAGTTTACATTTAAGTTGGCTATGAAATAAATTCCAGGATGATAACTTCAAAGTGGCACTATTGCCATGAGAATTAGCATAGAACTGGCAATCTTCTGAGTTTTTTTTTTAGTTTAGTGTTAGCCAGACTGTCTGTGAATACCTCTGGTCCACCAGTAAAAGTTCCAGTCGTCTAAAGGGTTATGGCATTAGTCTCTGGGTTCAAGTCCCATCTGGATTGTTTTTGTTTTGCTTGGTAGGCAGGTTTGCCAATAAAAAGGCCCAGTGGCCTAATGGATAAGGCACCAGCCTTTGGCGCTGGGGTTTGGGGTTTGCGTCCCACCTGGGTCATCATTTAGAGCTTATGTTTAAGTTGGCTGAACAAGATATTCAAGTATGAAAAGTTCATAGTGACATTATAGCCATTAGAATAAGCATAGAGGTGCCAGTGGCCTAATGGATAAGGCACCAGCCTTTGGCGCTGGGGTTTGGGGTTTGCGTCCCACCTGGGTCATCATTTAGAGCTTATGTTTAAGTTGGCTGAACAAGATATTCAAGTATGAAAAGTTCATAGTGACATTATAGCCATTAGAATAAGCATAGAGGTGCCAGTGGCCTAATGGGTTATGGCGTCAGCCTCTGTGTTCAAGTCGCACCTGGCCTGCTTTTGTTGAGTTACATTTAAGTTGGTTGCGCAAGAAATGCTGGGATGATAAGTTTAAAGTGGCACAATAGACACGACAACAAAACATGAGAGTTAGAGTTAGAATTAGCATAGAGCATAGCATAGGTTCTGTAAGCCCTGAAAATTTATCTCACTGGTTAGGTTGACCAGGGAAAAAGGTGCTGTGTCATCAGCCTTCGGAACTGGGGATTGAGTGTTCAAGTCCCATCTGGTTGTTTTTAAGAGTTTACATTTAAGTTGGTTGCGTAAGAAATGCTGGGATGATAATTTCAAAGTGACACCATTGCCATGAGAATTAGCATAGAACTGGTAATCTTCTGAGGTACTTTTTTAGTTTAGTGTTAGCTAGACTGTCTGTGAATATCTCTGGTCCACCAGTAAAAGTTCCAGTGGCCTAAAGGGTTATGGCATTATTCTTTGTGTTCAAGGCCCATCTGGATTGTTTTTGTTTTGTTTCGTTGGTGGATAGCTAACAAAACAGACCCAGTGGCCTAACACTATTGCCATGAGAATTAGCATAGAACTGGTAATCTTCTGAGGTACTTTTTTAGTTTAGTGTTAGCTAGACTGTCTGTGAATATCTCTGGTCCACCAGTAAAAGTCCCAGTGGCCTAATGAATTATGGCATCAGCCTATGTGTTCAAGTCGCACTTGGGCTGCTTTTTTGTGTTACATTTAAATTGGCTATGCAAGATATTCCATGATGATAATTTCAAAGTGACACTATTGCCATGAGAATTAGCATAGAACTGGTAATCTTCTGAGGTACTTTTTTAGTTTAGTGTTAGCTAGACTGTCTGTGAATATCTCTGGTCCACCAGTAAAAGTTCCAGTGGCCTAAAGGGTTATGGCATTATTCTTTGTGTTCAAGGCCCATCTGGATTGTTTTTGTTTTGTTTCGTTGGTGGATAGCTAACAAAACAGACCCAGTGGCCTAGTGGATACGGCACCAGCCTTTGGAGCTGGGGATTGTGGGTTTAAGTCCCACCTGGGTCATCGTCCAGGGCTTATGTTTAAATTGGCTGAACAATATTTTCAATTATGAAAAGTTCAAAGTGACACTATAGCCATTAGAATAAGCATAGAAGTGTCCTAATGGGTTATGGCATCAGTCTCTGTGTTCAAGTCCCATCTGGATTGTTTTTGTTGGATTGGTTTGTAGGATAGCTAGTAAAAAGGCCCAGTGGCCTAATGGATAAGGCGCCAGCCTTTGGCGCTGGGGATTGTGGGTTCAAGTCACACCTGGGTCATCGTTCGGGGCCTTTGATTAAATTGCCTGAACAAGATATTCAAGTATGAAAAGTTCAAAGTGACACTATAGCAATTAGAATAAGCATAGAAGTGTCCCAGTGGCCTAATGGGTTATGGCATCAGCCTCTGTGTTCAAGTCGCACCTGGCCTGCTTTTGTTGTGTTACATTTAAGTTGGCTGCGCAAGAAATGCTGGGATGATAAGTTTAAAGTGGCACAATAGACACGACAACAAAATATGAGAACTAGTATAGAGCTAGAATTAGCATAGAGCATAGCATACCATAGAAACAGCGTAGCATAGGTTCAATCAGAGAAGGATCAATCAGAGAAGAGGCCCAGTGGCATCCAGTGGCATCATGAGCTGTTTTCTGAAAGCTCTATCAGTTTATCACTATTGCCATGACAATGAAACATGAGAATTAGCATATAACTGGCAATTTTCTGAAAGAGCTATCAGTTTATCTTGCATCAGACTGTCTGTGAATGTCTCTGGGTTAACCAAAAGTTGGCCCAGTGGCCTAATGGATAAGGCATCAGCCTCCAGAGCTGTGGATTGTGGGTTCAAGTCCCACCTGGGTCATATTTGAGGGGTTTCCTTTAAATTGGCTTTGCTAGAAAATCCAGGCTGAAAAGTTCAAAGTGACACTATAGCCATTAGAATAATCATAGAAGTGGCCCAGTGGCCTAATGGGTTATGGCATCAGCCTTTGTGTTCAAGTCGCACCTGGCCTGCTTTTGTTGTGTTACATTTAAATTGGCTATGCAAGAAATTCCATGATGATATTTTCAAAGTGAAATTATAGCCATGGGAATAAGCATAGAACTGGTAATCTTCTGAGATACTTTTTTAGATTACTTTTAGCCAGACTGTATGTGAATACCTCTGGCTCCACCAGTAAAAGTCCCAGTGGCCTAATGAGTTATGGCATCAACCTATGTGTTCAAGTCGCACCTGGGCTGCTTTTTTGTGTTACATTTAAATTGGTGTTAGAAAACCCTCTCTGTCTTGAGAATGTTCCAAATATGCCTCACCCCTCCTTTCTTTCCCTCTCCCTCTCACTCTCCCTCCTCTATCTGTTCTCTCTCTTGAATGGTGTTTTAATGTCTCTTACTCATATTCGAGGTAGGCATGCGCACATGTATACATTAGTTGCTTGGCTCAAATGCCCAAATAAGTAGATGAATGCTAGGACTACGAGTTAAAGGAGTTCTTGCTGAACTGTGAGGCGGGTTCAGCATCCTTCGCCAAAAGTCTATTCCTAATATGTACATGTTTTTCTGTACATGTGGCCATTTTATACAAAATACATGTTCTTGGCCAAAGATCCTATATGTGTATGTCATTCTATCCTCATTGGTTGAGAGGGTGAAACTCCCCTCGACATATGCCTATATAATATCTGTATTTCTATGAATAAATTGAAGTATTGAGAATACATTGACTGTGTGTTTTCTTGCTTCCCGGCCGTTATACACTTTAAGGAACTGAGAATTCTTCAAGGCGCAAAGAGATACGAGGGACAAATTGTTATTTATTAA